CCCCCAAGGGCCAGTTTCAAGGCGGGACTTAGCGGAAATCCCTCAGGGGCCTCTGTGAGCCGAATGTCGCGGCAGGTGGCTTCAAGCCCCCCACCAGGTCCCCCCGGTTGACAGCCGGGGTTTCCACAAGGGTGAGAGACTTGAGCCAAAATGGCTACGGCTCTCTCTCTCTCTCTCTCTCGCTGTCTGCCGCTGTCACACACAAACACACACACACACACACACTCTCTCTCTCTCTCTCTATCTGTCTCCCCCTACCTGCCTAGCTATCTATCTATGACTCTCTCTCTCTCTCTCTCTATCTAACTATGTGCGGATCTCTCTTTCTTATCTGTCCCTATCTGCTGTGCATCCATGTGTCTATGTATCGATGTATCTTAGTCTAATCTGCGGAGTACATGCAGTCATCTCATGTCATATCCGTATATTTTTTATTCAAACATGTTTACGGACTAGGCTTGCTAATCGGTTCGACTCTGGGCTCTGGCACCGGCGGCCAAACATCCGCCTTCTCGCTGGCGACACGGAGGCCGGCTCCTGATCCACTATGTGAGCTGGGGACCCCCACTTAGGGGTCACGATGACTTGAAGACCGCTTGTGCCGTTGGTGGGGAGGTCGTCCGGAAGGACTCGTTGTTCACATCGTTTAGCTACTAGCTTTGGCTTGCTTGGAGTTTCGGTGACAAACGTGCCACCCTTGGACATGAAACTCCAAATCGCTCGCCTGCAGCTTCAATGGCGCGAGATGCCAGAGCGATCTTCTGGAGACGAAGCCGGCGCTGCGCCTTAAGCCATGGGAGCTGAGCTGTGGCAAATGGCACGTTGAGTCCTTTTGAGAGTCGAAGCCGAGGACCCGATCTTCCACCACTCTCGCCGTACTGAAAATAGTGGCACCGATGCTCTTGCTGTCGACGAAAGATGCTTGTGCTGATTGTGACAATTCCGATGGCCTTGACTACCATAGTCCTGATGACACTGATGCCGACGTCGACAGTAATGGACACCGCACAAATGCTATGATGATGGCAATGGCGACAATGACAACGTTGCTGATCATGCCGATGACGGATGACGGCGGTGATGACATGGTTCCTTAGAGGAGCATGCTAAAGCCGTTGTCGATGCTGCAATGGTTCGGATCTTGAGGACGGTGTGGGGCATCGCTGATGATGACGAGGGCTGTGAGAACGCAATGCTAGCGGCTAGCGACGATCATCATGATGACTGGTGGCGGCGATGGTGCTGACAAGCGTGTTGATTACCACATGAACATAACGGCGCGATCGCAGAGGGCCGAGACAGGCACCAGCAGGGCGACCTTGGCCTTGGCGTTCGCAGCTGTGGAGGTGTAGAACCGGCTCAACCGATCCTGGCTTGCGAGCAGCTGAACAGCGACCGCCGCCACCACTGCCACTACCACTACTGCACTACTGTACCAGTACCAGTACCAGTACCGGTGTCACCACCGCTACCGCTTCCACTACAAATGCCAGCCACGACCACCACCACCACCACGACGCCCCAGCACTACCTAGTACGACTAGTACTACTAGTACTACTAGAACTACTAGTACTACTAGTACTACTAGTACTAGTACTAGTACTAGTACTAGTACTAGTACTAGCACTACTACTACTACTACTACTACTACTACTACTACTACTACTTCTACTACTACTACTACTACTACTACTACTACTACGACTACGACCACGACCACGACTACGACTACTGCTACTCTGACTACCATCCTGTGATACGACAATACATGACGATAACCTCTGAGCCAACACTCGCTCTCCTTCGCCCGCTGCAGCAGGTCACATGCCCGGACGCTGTCAGCTATGGCCTGAGGCGCTACATTGATGGCCTATGTCTGCCGTATCCAGCCATGCCACTGCAAACTAGAATCATGCAACTATATTCAACTCCGCCGACGGCTCTGATTCTTTCATGCCAAACTCGGGTGCAAAACGTGAAACAGGCAAACATACGCAAACCAAGACCACTGTAGATGTCCACCTGCTTGTACTCTTTGTTTTCATTCTGGCGCTGCTTCTTGGACTCCGCTACTTGCTCGTCCAACTCCTCGCCGCAGCACAGGCAATCAGCGATACGCATGGCCTGTCACAAAACCTCTGGATTGGACGGATCTTGACTCGTGACTCGTGACCAAGCGCTTGACAGGATTTGTATTGTGAGTCAGTGTTCATGCGAGGCGACGTTGTGCTGTCTGGGTTGGAAAACGTGTTTCCACAACAGTTCCGTGCTCAGTTTTGCCTGCAATTGGCTCGACCCCCGGAACCCGGCAGGGTCACACTAGTCGCCTCCTCAGGGCTGGCTGTGGTATCGAAATCCCCGGTAAAAACGGTGCGCTCATGCCATAGAACCGTTACCCCGTCACTCCCGACACAGTGCGCCGCACATTTTGCCTGCGACTCGTGAGTTGTGCTTGGCATGCGTTTTGGGTTTTGGGATAGGGCTGGCTCCCACGGGGTACACATGGAGTGGGCGTAGACTGGCAGGTGTTATGTCACTGTTGGGGGTCTACGCTGACAGAATCAATCGCAGAAGATATCATATCATATCTCCAATAACCAATTGCCCTTTTTTTCAACACCCCTCATGATGAACTGATATCATCACCATCTTTTAAAGCCTATTTTGAATCAGAGGGTTTCAGGGAGCAAGAGCACAGGACTGAGGATCCCAGACAGGGACCTCCAACCAACAGAAAACAGAACACCAGCGACGTCGATGCCTCAATGCTTAGCGACTGAGTCTTTGACCGGGATAGCCCGAATGCACGAACCGGCAAGTTCGGACTGTCTCGAAGCTGCACTTGGAGGCGCGCCAAGTTTCAAAGGGTATTTATATGACGGCTTTACTCCACTATACTCCACTGTCGGCTTTGGACTTCAGCTTCCCCAGCAGAAACTCACAGCCTGTATCTTCTTTGTCATCGCCATCATCTCCTGCGGTGCGTTGGCTTGCCCATCTGCGAACTCTGTAAAGGAAGAATTCGGCATGTCAACTTGACCACGCGAGCACAGCTACTTTGCTTAGGTCGCAAACCGTGTGGCATCCGGTACAAGGGGCCCGGACATACCTGAGACTTGGAGGCTTGCATGCGCGCACGGCGTTGCCATGCCGATATCCATCATGCGACTGGAGCACATGCCCACTTACTCGGCCAGCCCCACCTCCTCCACCTGCACCTTGTCTGTCTTCACCTCACTGCCAGCTTCGAGGATTTCGTTTGGAGGTTGTTCCTGAAGTTTCTGTCTCTTCAGGAGCTGCCTGTGAACAAGTAGGGTTTCCGTCGTCCAAGAAAGTCAGCCCAGATTAGACGGCTGTCCTTCATGATGCTGCCCACCGGGCCGTTGTCTCTTCACTTGCGAGACGACAGCATGTGTGCAAAACAAGAGCCCTTTGCGCCACCCAACCCGAAACCTCATGCCATCTCTCCACATGGCCTCATCTCTGATCTTGGACAAGTCCTGGCTAGGAAGGAGATCTGTGGATGTCAAGCTCGAGACTGTGAACAGATGGAGCCGCTGGAGGCAAACAATCCAGGCTCGAGAAGCTTCCAAATCCAAAACCCGCAAACCGTCAACCCTAAGGGTCTCTATCACGTCAGTCATGACATGATCCTCATGATGCGACAATCATTCGAACAACACTTCTAGAACTATACTAAAAACTTTAAAACACATGCCCTCAAGTCCAAGCTCTCCTCGGCCTCCTCTTTGAGGCTTCTCAGGTTATCTTCGGAGCTGCGGCTCTCGGCCTGCCGCTTCAAGGGTTTTCTCTCTCGGGATTGGGGGCGGGGGAAAATGGCTGAGTTTTTGGAGTTTGGGGGGTTCAATGATCAAGAGTTTCGGGTGTTGGGTTGAGGGCTGGGGTGATTTCGAAAGGGCTCCCATGATCTGTGCCACTAGGCTCTTGGCGGCGGACTGAGGAAATGAGGGCAAATCATTTTGTGGCTATAGGATGATTCAGGTCCGTCAGTAGGTAGATCCGGTGGGTTTGGGCTCAATGATTCTTGCCGACCGATGTGCTCAGCCAGCTGGGCATCAAGCCCAAATGCCGACGTGTTGTGAACGGTCGCATTCGTGCTGACCGGCCTTCCGTCAAGCGTCTGTCTCGCTCCATCTCCCTCCCCTTCACTACTACTACCACTGCTACTACTACTACTACCACCACCACCACCACCACGACTACGACTACGACTACTACTACTACTACTACTACGACTACTACTACGACTCAGACTACGGCTGCGACTACGACGACGACTGCAACTACGACTACCACTACGACTACGACTACTACTACTACTACTACTACTACTACTACTACTACCACTACTACTGCTTACCAGTACTCGGAGCATCTGCTGTG